GAAACCTTCTGGCACCCATTGGAAAATGTTCAGCATAGTCCCAGGTATCGTGAATGGCCACTGCCAGAATAATTCAGTGGTGGGTGTATACGCCAGACGCCCCCAACTGCTCCACCCCCAAAATTGAGCTAGATTAGCTGGAGAGGAAACCCCATGAAACCTATTGGAAAATGTTCGGCATGGTCCCAGGTATCAGGAATGAACACTGCCAGAATTTTTTAGGGGAGGGGCGCATCCGCCAGACCTAAAAAACCGTTACCCCAAAATTGAGCTAGATTAGCTGGAAAGGAAACCTTCTGGCACCCATTAGAAAATGTCCGGCATAGCCTCAGGTATCGTGAATGGCCACTGCCAGAATAATTCAGTGGTGGGTGTATCCGCCAGACGCCCCCGAATGGTCTATGCCTGCCATCAAAAGTAGATAATCTACTCTTGCTGCCATGCAGACACTCTGAAGATGCCCCCCCCCCCAAACAAAAACAATGCGGTGCGCATGGATTTGCTTTACATTATATGTGTCACTCTAGCTCTACTGTGGTATAGGTATATACAGCTGCATGCTAGTTGATAGAGCAAGGAGCAGCTGGGAAATGTGAGTAGTCTACTCTTATTTTTCCACATTTTATTGTGTATATTCTAAATTCATGTGTTGTCTATAATAGGTTATAATAGGTTATATAATAGGTGATGACCATAAAAACTTTGCAAGGCATAAAAACGTCTGCAGGCATGACTGTAACTTGTTAAGACTGATAATTACTATTATCTACTGAGTTATTACTACTATTATCTAATTAGAGTGTATTCTAGTATAGTAGACAGCGTCTATAGTAAGTAATAGTCTATATACAGGCCAGAACAGAGGGGGGGCAGGTGGGCCAGTTGGCATGGGCCTACGATTTTGAGGGGGCCTATACTCCCCCTGGTAGAGACTAAGGGGGACCCTTTGGTAAAGAATGTTGATATTGTAAAGAGAGTCAAGGGGGTTCATTTAGCACAAAATATTTTTATTTTAAAGAAGAATCATAAACGATTACTACACATGTATATAAATGCATACATAAATCATATGTATTTAGCACTGATTACAATGAAACATAATGAGCATAGTAGCAGCAGCAGCGCAGCCGCCGCCTCCACCCATCAGTGACCCTACCCTGCTTCACTTCACCCCAGCCATTCAGTAACACTTTAATTCCGCATGTGACTATATATTATACGTTTTAATGAGGATGAATGATCGAAGAAGGCGGTACGAGCGACTCACGTCGTATTTCTTATCAGCCGATGTATAAAGAATCGCACTGCTTCTTAATCAGTCGACGATAGTATGGATTTACGCCTAGCCGTTATAAATAGACATGTCGTACGCATCACGGGTAAAGGCTTCGTCGTCCTCGGACAAATGTCGGCTGTAACAACTGCCGCAGCGAATATCGCGCTACTAATCAAACTATGTGGTATTTCACTTGTTTCGGTCTCACTTCATACCTCCTTGCCTATATGCGCTACACACACACGCGCGCACACACACACACACACACGCGCGCGCACACACACACACACACAGAGAGAGAGAGAGAGAGAGAGAGAGAGAGAGAGAGAGAGAGAGAGAGAGAGAGAGAGAG